AAAAGCTTCAGTTTAGTCCTAAAAATTTAGTCAAAATAGTTGAAATAACTGCAGCCACCTTGGGACTTGCTTGATGCTTTGCCAGACTAGCAGGGTTCACAATTACTGCAAAACAGTCAACAATATCAGAAATAGAAAGAACCATATATTATTGGGGACAAGTGAGACGGAAACACAATTCTATATGGCAGTAAAGAGCTAAAGATTTAGGCTCTACTACTAGTTTTCTGGAGCTGAAAATGAGAAGAATACTGATGACACAGTCATCTAGGCAAAAAAATGCAAAGAATCAGAAGTTCAAGAACAAGTCTGCGGCCAAGATGGGGTGAGGTGGTATGATGAACAGCGTTACAAATAGTCAGTTTATTGAGGGTTTTCACGAGTTAAAATTATGCATTCTACCAATCTTTGTTGGGTTATTCGTGATTTGGAATTTCAATTAAGGTCTTTTAGAAGGATTAGTCCATGGATAAGATTGAATACTACATGAAAGAATCACAGTTAGAAGAACAAGGGAAGATAATAAAAAGTAAGCCAAGGTACAAGGACATTATAGAACCATGATTGATCATATAAGGTGAACGAATATGTATAGACCACTTGGAATTAATTAATCATGTAAAGTCAGACTACATAAAGTTTATAAAGCTCAATAACTAATTGAGACTCTCATAGAATTCTGAAGTGTTAATTATGTATTGACAGGTAGTTGAGTTTGATTATGTATACCATCTAGAAGAGCACCAATCACTTCTGGATCATTGAGTGTTGCCATCAATTCAACGTCCTGCACATTGACAGCAAAAAAGACCAATTATTTTCTAGAGGAACGGACATCACTACATCATATTATCAGCAGAAGGCATGATCCAGATTATATGGTTATTTGAAACAAGCTCAGCAGAAGATAGGATGGTAATTACATTTTTGTTGTACTCAATCAATCCCCCTAGCATGCCACCCTGACTTCCACTTGATGAAGACNACCCTGACTTCCACTTGATGAAGACCGCTCTTGCTTCTTATCCTTTAGATATGCAGCCTACACCAGAATGAATGAGAGAAAATCAGATTTCACATGTAGACAACATACAGTAACAAACCAGTGAGCAAATATGGTTTACCCGAGCCTGGAACCGGCGGCGTACTTGATTACGCTCAAAGTTTTTGTACCTTTCCTCTCTGCGAAGCCTTTCATATTTTC